AATCGATGCGAAGCACGATGTGTTAGAGGAATTGGAGGAACCTTTCACGAGAAAGTGTCTCGTGCCTTGAGGAGAAGGTTTGAAGGGAGAAATCCGAGAAACGTGTGCTTAATGTCTTGAAATCGGGTGTTTCGAATTCCAAGCACTTGCATCGACTTCGTACAGCTAATTTCACGCGTTCTTAGAGCACCGTGTTACGACGATTTTCGTAACTCGTAAAACTGAAATTGAATTCGCTTTGCTGTCATTTGTGCAGCATTATGAAATTTAACTGCGAAATTCAAGCTCGTCGGGGCTCGGAACAACGTGAAAATTTCCGTGGATGATAGTGTGGCTGGAGGATACTCGAGGAGATTAGCGATCAGAAATTAGTATCCTTCAGATCGGTAAGCCAGTTTGATCGTACTTTGGGTATTAATTATTGTAGCTGGAGATTCACCTTGACAAAGCTACCGAAATTATTCGGTACAGCTTTGCTGAATACTTAACCCTTTGCACTCGACTGTCCCTTCTGAGGAGACATCGTACTTAAATCTAGCCAACTTTCTCCTTTTATAAAGTTTCAAACTTCTTATAAACTTTTTTATATTTATAATTTGTTGATAATTGTCATATGATACAATTACAATTACAATTTGTTGATAATTATAATAGACGTACATGCATTTGGTGGTATAATAGTAGAACGTAATGTCTGAACAGAGTGAAAGCTTAGAATGAAAGCTATAATAACGACAACAAGAGGAACAAAAATATTCCAGAAGGAGACATTATTTCCTGAGTCAATTCACGTAAATTAGGCTTCATATTATGTTTCTTGCGAATTTTTAAAAAATACCGGAACAACATGAAAATATTACTTTTCCGGGGATTAAAACCGTGTGTCATTAACTCTTGTTAAAGTTAAAATTAAATCTATATTGTTCAATTAAGCTAATAATATAAAATTAAATCTATATTATTAAATTAAACTAATAATATGAAATTAAATCTATATTATTAAATTAAACCAATAATACAAAATTAAATCTGTATTATAATGTTCTATAGCAAACCCGAAATGCACGCTGTAATTTAAACATCACACGTTAGAGAGATACAATCAACAAAATTTCGTGTCAAACGTCATTCGAATGATTATCTCCAACGCTATGTCATTTTATTTGACTTCGTAGATAAATTGTTGGTGGATGATGCCAAAAAGTTTGTCGAGGTTTGCAAATGATTAATTTTCTAGCAATCAACGACGATCGTTATCACATTATTACTTATTTATTAATCTATTTTTTATTATACGCGCGTTATATTTCCGAAATCGAAAATCGAGAAAAATTGGAAAAATGAGAAGAAAGTCAAACAATCGATCGATTGAACGTCTGGGTTAGTTAAATGTTAACTTTTCGTACCGAGCAACTCGGAATTTTTCGACGAGAATTTACAATGGCGTTCGTCGGCCATCGAGCGGCAACGATTCGCAATTGCTCGTGGAATTATTCGAAAATTCACTTTCGTTTCGTCGGCGAGGCGACACGGGCAGCGCCCTCGTAAATAATTGGCGCTTTAATCATTTTAAATGCACGGGATAATCCGGGATCAAGTTCAAGATAGAGCCCCGGGACAGATACAGATTATTGCTCGTGCACAGGACCGAGCGCGTATTTGCGCAAGACACGTTTAATTTTCAACTAAAACAATTTAACGAAACAATTCGTTCTTAACGCGAATCTTTCTATATTTACGTCGGAGGGTGTGTAACGAAAATTCTCATTAACCACGCGGATTCACGCGAACGCGCACGATCGAATAATTGCGAAATCACGGCACAATTTTAAATTGAAAAGTTGGAGAAATTCTGCACAACTTTAATACCAATAATTTATTTTATTATAACAATTTGTCATCCATCGCCACGATTTTTGTACTTTATTGATGAAACGCGTTTAATCCTTAGTTTTCTATTAAAGCAATTGGCCATCAGTGATATTGATCTTGCGAATATGATTAGAATTTAATCATTGTGAAATCAATTTCTTGCATCAAGTTGCTTATACGAATTTCTGTTGATTTTTACTGGATCTTTTATTTTAATTCTCACGGGCAAAAGATTTCCCGTGAGACGATAAAAATCTGTTAGTGTTGAAGTGAAAATAGAGAGATTTCAGAAAAACCGAGAAGAGAAGGGTCGGGAATTCAAGTTGTCGTTGGTGACACCGCTCGTGTTAAATTTTCGATTTAAATTGCTCTTCATTCAATGCCTCTTACTCTTTTTTCGTTTTCTTTAATTGTGAATTTTTACATCACAGTGCGAAGCTAGAAAATCGTTTCTTCTCTCAAATTAATGTTAGAATACGGTCTTTCTATCTTTCGTCATAAAATAATATTGATTCTTTCACGCTCGTTTCGCGAATATTATATTCTTAAATGAATCACTTAAAAATCAGTGAACTAAATCCAAAAATTATTCGATTATCATACTGAAAGGACATAGAGATCTTTGGAAATGATTTTTCAACACTTTTCACTTCACGCTTTAAAAAAAAAAAAAAAAAAAAAGAATCGAAAACGGAATAGGATGACGGATTTTTAATAATAATAGAAATCGCAAACGTCGATCGAGGTTCAAGCCGAAATGGAACATCGTATAAATCTCTAATATTACAGGCGTTACGGGGATCATTTTTATTCTTCGATTGTCGACACGATCGATCATACGCGCCGGTCAAATTATAAATCTGACGCTGCCCCGGCGTTTTTGATTTTATTGAAATTAATTCGCACGATATTAATATCCGCGTTGTACAAAGTCGGAATAAAAATCGCGTATCGCACATTCTTCCCGCAATATTCTTTCGAACATTGTTATTCCAGGTTGAACTTTTATGTGTCGTCGAGTATAATTTGTCGTGTAAATTATGGTTTGTTTTTTCAGACAAATTCATATATATTTTTTTGACATTTCTACCTCCTAATTTCTAATATCACGTGCGCTATCAATCAATTAATTTTTTCAACTTCGAGATAATAATTTCTATAAATTTTATGAGAAACAATTTTATTTCCCCCCTTCGGTATTTTCAATTTATATTCTTACATCCCCATTTTGAAAGTTTCGTCAATCGATTCTACATTGTACAATATCTACAATATCTAATTCAAAAAAATATTCGTTTAAATCTTTAGAACATTTCCGTAGTCTTCCTTTTATCCTCAACTCTTGCCAATCAATCCCAGGCATTTTAAATTTCTCAGCTTAAAATTCTTCCCAGAATAACGCTGTCTCTGCACTATAGCCACATTATACTGCAAAATTCAAAATCTCCTCTCTCATTTATTATTCCCACAATTGATCAATGATCAGTCCCCGAAACCTCGACTTGCAGAAAGTTCTGTCAACAAGAAGAAAGTTTGTCGTAGCGAAAGTCTAATTCAAAAAATATTCTTTCGAATCTTTGGAATATTTCCATACAGTCTTGATTTTATCCTCAACTCTTACCAATCAATCCCAGACATTCTAACCGAAAAGTCTCCCCTGAAAGCAACGCTGTCCCGAATCCATTAACTCTCGGGCCCTCGCTTTTAACCTCTTAACGTCGAGAACTTTTTGTTCTAAAATTGCCATATTTTTTCAGTTCTAAGTAAAACAAAATAAACAGAGCAAATAATAAATTTATTACTTGTTAATAATTTCTATCCAGTGATATTATGCCGACGAGCTCGAAAAGAAAACGACGATTTATTATACACGGTTTTGGTCACTCGTTATGGTCCGCAATCAGTTGTCAGCGCGTAGTGGTCAACCTCTTGCGCTGAAACGACGTGCCACGTACGTCGAGAATTTTTTAGTATATTTAAATATAACTCAAAGACAAAATAAGTAATAAATTTATTACTTCTTAGTAATTTGTATCTATAGTGATATACCGACGAGTTCAAAAGGAAAAGAAAGCGACGAATTGTATACGGTTCGGTCACTCGTTGTGGTCCGCAATCAATTGTTAGCGCAAGCAATATTTTATAAATTGCAATATTTTCAAAGTATATTTAAGTATAACCCAGGCAAAACAAATAATAAATTTGTTAAATTACTTCTTAATAATTTTTCTGTCCAGTGATATAATACCGACGAATTGAAAAAGGAAGCGACGATTTATTGTATACGGTTTTCGGTCACTCGTTACGGTCCGCAATCAGTTGTCAGCGCGTAGTGGTCAACCTCTTGCGCTGGAACGACGTGCCACGTACGTCGAGAATTTTTTTAGTATATTTAAATATAACTCAAAGACAAAATAAGTAATAAATTTATTACTTCTTTGTAATTTTTATCTATAGTGATATACGGACGAGTTCAAAAGAAAAAGAAAGCGACGAATTGTATACGGTTCGGTCACTCGTTGTGGTCCGCAATCAATTGTTAGCGCAAGCAATATTTTATAAATTGCAATATTTTCAAAGTATATTTAAGTATAACCCAGGCAAAACAAATAATAAATTTGTTAAATTACTTCTTAATAATTTTTCTGCCCAGTGATATAATACCGACGAATTGAAAAAGGAAGCGACGATTTATTGTATACGGTTTTCGGTCACTCGTTATGGTCCGCAATCAGTTGTCAGCGGAAGTGGCTAACCTCTTGCGACGACGTCCCACGCACGTCGAGAATTTTTCGCCCCAAAATGTGCAACATTTTCTCAACTTTAAGTATATTTAAGTATATAATCCAGGCATAAGTATATTTAAACGTAACCCGGGCAAAACAAACGACAGCTTTATTACTCCTTAATAATTTCTATTTCCGACGAGCTCAAAAAGAAAAAGAAAATCGACGAATTATTATTGTACGCGGTTCGGTCGCTCGTTACGGTCCGCGCGTGTTAAAGTCGCCGGAACCACAACTTGCCAAATGGTTCTGTCAACGAAGAGAAGAAAGTTCGGCGAAAAGTGGGCCGAAAAGGAAATTGACGAAACAGACAAACAGACGATTATCGAGACTGCTACTCACCGGACGATGCAGTGAATCCCGCGTGCATCCCGTACCTTGGCGCGGTCATGTGCTGGGGGTGCGGCGTCGGCTGGAGCGCGGCGTGTGCAGCGGACACGGGCGCCTGAGGATGCGTAGCCGCCGGCCGCGATAGTATCGTGTCGATGCCATGCGGATTGCTACCGACGGAGGTGATGGAAGTCGCGGGGCTGTGCTTTCCGCTTCCGGTAGGCGAGGTCTGCCCCTGAGTGATGGTGGACAACGGCACGCTGATTCTCGGCAGTTGTATCCCGGCTGCTTGTTGCTGCCCCTGATGATGCACCTGCTGCTGCTGTTGCTGCTGCTGCTGCTGCTGCTGTTGCTGCTGCTGATGTTGTTGCTGCTGCTGCTGATGGTGCTGCTGCTGATGATGTTGCTGCTGGTGATGACTTCGCTCGGCCATCGAGTGCAACGCTGCCAGCGGTTGGCTAGCCAGCATGCTTCCGCCAGCGGCGCTTAGATTCAGAAATTGGAGAACGTGAGGCGCGGCCGCCGCATGAAAATCGTGGAGCCAGGGCGGCCGCGGCGGCGGTGGCGAGTGGCTGGACGCCGGAGGCGGCGAACACGAGCCCAGAGATGAACCCGCCGACGAACTTCTGTCGCCCTCCAAGTGGCTGTTCCGCCTGTGAGCGTCGCTCAACGACGACATGTTCGTCTCGGCTGGCTGCGCCTCGGGGCTCGAACGAGACTGCAAGTTCGTGCAGGGCTCCGTGTCCGTGCAGCTCTTTCCACTTGCGTTGTTGTTGTTATTGTTGGTCAGAGAACACACCATCTCGCACCACGCATAGTTCGGCAATGAGCGGAAAATTTCGGCCGGGATTGGAAGCCGGGGCTCGAAGGATGCGGCTCCTCCGAAGGGTACGACGAACGGGTCGGACACTTTGCGATGCTGCACGGCCACTAATACTGCCACACGCTGGGCATAATCACTCGCGATACTTGGTGGTGGATCGGTTTCTCTTCTACCGGTCACTTTGCTCAGTTTCCATAATTGGCGGTCTTTTTTTTTCGGAATTATTTACTCAGAACTTGGTTTCTTTTTGGAAGCAGATCGGTTCGAGACGTTTTATTGTCTAACCGATGGTGGTGATTTTCTAGAGCTCCGCGTGAATTCGGTGAATAAATTTGCTCTTTCCAAGATGCTTTATCGCGTGCAATATTCCAAAATAATTTTCAAATATTGCACGTGTCTCTTTTTTCAAATTTCTTCTTTCACAGAGAAATCTAATACGAGTTTTCCAGCACTCTGTCCTTTGATGGAAATTATTTCCTTTTTCTAGAATAGACTCCTATTCACCACTATTGCGTTTTTCAGTATAAATTTCCCTTTTCCCAGGATTCTAAATTTCTCACTACTGTCTTCCCCGATGAAGAAACTATTTTTTTTTTTTTCTAAGATCCAAAATAATAATCTCTTCTCCACTGTGTTCTCCAATGAAGATTTATTGCTTTCCCAAAGCTCAATATTTTTTCCACCGCTAGATTCTTCGCTCGAAATTTCTTTTCCTCCACAGTTCAACGTGCCTTTCTTTTTTCCAGCGTTCTCCAACACGAAAATTATTTGGTTTCCCAAAGTCCGATATATCCCTTTCTCTATCACTGCCTTTCAGAAACACAGATTCCTTTCTTTCTTAAACTTTCTCGCGCGCGCACACACACATACACACACACACCCACACACACTGCGTTCTCCAGCGCAGTTTCCTTCTTTTCCCCGAAAGTCCGCCACAAACTTTCCAACTCTGTCCTCAAACCACGGAATTCGTTCTTCCTTCAAGAGTCCAGAGTCCTTATCTTTCAAAGTCCAAACTCCAGGAATCTTTCTCTCTCTCTCTCTCTCTCTCTCTCTCTCTCCACCACTATACTCTTCTGTCATCCACCGACATCCTCGTTCTCCCGGGATGACGAGACGAAATCTGCTTATCCACGTAATCGTACACTCGTGTGTTATCACTCGTGCGATGAAAATGCAATGCGTGGTGGTCTCGCGTGTGGCGGCGGCGGTGTGGGAGCGCTGGTTGGGAAGAAAGGATGAAAAAAAACAACAGGGGATGGTTTGGAAAATCACGTCGGATCGTAGATGGTGCACTATACTATACTAACTTGCGTGAGGGGGGTAGCAGCCGAGTGGCTCGGCTGGCCAAGTGGTATGCGACTGGGGTGCATCGGGGAGCGTAGCTCGTCCCGATCCGACTTAACTCGCTCGAAGCATGGTCGAGGGTCTTCGTGCTCGGTTCGGGTTTGGGTTTCGGGTTCTCTCGGCTCGTCCGATAGGTCGATCCAACCGGGTCGGGTTGTGCGAACGAACGAACGAAGTGGATTGGCGTGGAAACGGTGGGTCGGCTGAACCACCGAAGGGCGGTTCTGCTTCAGGATTGGCCAACCTCGGCTCGTACCTCCGGAAGAAGAGGTGTTCCGGGCGGGGCCTCTCAATCTCGCGTTAGCTTCTTGTTAAGCGTCTTTCATTGTGTGTTTAAATTCGTAATTTATGATCCCGACTGAATAAAACAAGAACTCGCTTGGTGTTCCGCTTACTGGCTGCGCCTGGCTGGCTGGCTGGTTGGCTGGCTGGCTGGCCGAGGCTAGAAAGCCCCCCTGGCTCGGGCTGAGAGCTGTTTGCCTGACTGGCTCCGCCAGTTTGCTCGACAACTGGGCACCTCTGTATGACTGTGGTGACACTACCGCCTCGATAACTTCCTTCCTACAGCCGCCCTTCCTTCCTTTTCCACCCCTTTCGCCGCGAGCTGCCTCTCTTCTATGCCCCCCCCCTCTCTCTCTCTCTCTCTCACTCTCTTCGCGTGTCTTTTCCGAGTACATACAGGGTGGTCAATAGGGTGCACCCCGTTTTAATTGCACCGTGTTCCGTTGTATTCGTTTGTTCCGTGCCTCCAGGTGGCGAGATTAAGGTTTTCGTCGAGTCCATAGGTCGGTTCATAAATAATATGATTCTGCGTATGTATATATATGATGTGATTTTTTGGGGGGGGGGGGAGGGGGGTATCGATGGAGTATTTAATAAAATGTAAGTAGATACCCATGAAGCGTAAAGCGTAACGTGTCCGTTGTAAAGGAGTTATTGTACAGAGTAGCGGTGGTGGTTTTTAATTTATTGCTCTCCAGTAGTAAGCTCGAGCTTTCGTCCGACCTGCGAACGATACACGTACCAAACGCGACATTTTCCTCCCCCAGATATTTATTAGTGTACTTCGAAGCACTAAGATGCTTCTAACAACATCCAACAGTGAGTATTCATTTTTTCCTTTTTTTCTCAGTTGCTGTCAATCGAATGTTCTTCTCCTTTCAGAGCAAACGAGACGACTCAATTTTTCAATGCATTATCCAGCCACCCTGTATGTGTTTCTCGTCTCGAGCCGAGCTGGACGAGTTTCCAGCTTTCCAGCCAGTCAAGTAACGCGTAGCCCGAGCTAAATCGAGTTATTTGCTCCCGATGGTCCATTTGGCTTGTTCCTGTACGTATGGCGATGCACGTGTCAACGAGAATTCGGTTACTTCATCCGGCTAAATCATTGCCGCCCGCGATCACGTAACTAATGTCTCTCCCTCCTTTTCAAACAACCTACCCTACCCTCCGACCATCCCCCTCACTCGAAAACCATCTTGATTTGTTTCTGGTATCTGGGTTTAGGCGGATCTGGCGTTCGACCAATCTAATGATCGAGCCAACCGGACGAACCTTTCGCTCGTTTTCCAACGAGGAGGATGAATAATTTATGCCGGCCGACTCTCTGCTGGCTGCTACCTTCCCCCCTTACCGCGTTTCCCTCTCGGAGCTTTAGCACGCGAGCGTTATGTTAGCGAGAGAGGTACGTCGACGTCGAATCGACGGATAATGGACGGGCGGAAGCGTCGTTTCCTTGCTGAAATTGTTTTGAACCGGGCGGACGATTTTAGGCAAGACGGGGGCGCAAAGAGGGCGGCAAGATAGAGATTTGATGTTACTATTGGTATATGTTGCCGCGACGGTTAGACGGTATCCTCCATATTGATTTCGGGGGTGGCTTCGTCAGACGAGCTATCGTCGGATGGACTTGCCGTTTCGCTCGAGGGAAGTTTATCTCTGAATTTAGCTTTCCATCGGAGGATTCCATTTCTGGCGGGTTTTTATATTTCGAGATTCGGAGGAATTGTTAACGACGGTGTTTCGCGAACTCTGGACTTGTGAAACGTAGGTATTGTTTCTTTGGCTTCGGTAGAAACAGAGGGGGTTGAAAAGATCTTTGAGAGAGGGATGAAAAATTGCTCACTAGGAGGAATTCCTCTTTTTTTTTTTTATCTTGAATTTAGATTTGCGAGTACTTTATTGTTTTCTTCTTCTCGTTCAGTGATTTAAAATATCGAGTCACCGGCAAACAAGAACTGTCTGTTTTCACATTATCTCGAATAATTTTACAACTCTGCGTTTCTCGACAAGTCGATATTCCCCTTAAAATTAAGATGTGTAGGAATTTTTTTCTATTTCTCGAAAACTTGATATCAATTGCACGATTCATTCAAACGAAAAGTGAAATTAAATTATAGTAACATTAACTGTAATAATAATGAGAAGTGAAATTATATTACAGTAACATTAACTGTAAATAAATTGAAGAAGCAATTTATTTTCTAAATTTAACGTCAACCGATTAGAAAATTTAAGTAAATTCTCTTTTCTTGGAAACTCGGTATTAATTGTACGATTCTTTTAAATTAATAAATAAAAAACCCTAAGAATAATATTCTTTTTCAAGTAAGAGTAATTTTCTTTTTAACTGTAAATAATTGAAGAAGCGATGTTTTCTATAATTTGACATCAACCGAGATTAGAAAATTTAAGTAAATTCTCATTTCTTGGAAACTCAGTATTAATTGTACGATTCTTTTAAATTAATAAAAAAAAAAACCCTAAGAATAATATTCTTTTTCAAGTAAGAGTAATTTTCTTTTCCGAGATAAGAAAATTTAAGTAAATTCTCATTTTTTGGAAACTCGGTATTAATTGTACGATTCTTTTAAATTAATAAAAAAAAAACCCTAAGAATAATATTCTTTTTCAAGTAAGAGTAATTTTCTTTTTAACTGTAAATAATTGAAGAAGCGATGTTTTCTATAATTTAACATCAACCGAGATTAGAAAATTTAAGTAAATTCTCATTTCTTGGAAACTTAATATTAATTGTACGATTCTTTTAAATTAATAAAAAAATCCTAAGAATAATATTCTTTCTCAATTAACTGTAAATAATTGAGGAAGCGATATTTTCTATAATTTGACGTCAACCGAGATAAAAAAACGTTTGTGTCGCGTATTCGCGTTCTATTAGGGGAGCACATACTTGGCAAATGTCGTTTCGGTATCTACCTGAAGCTAATTTTGATTTATCATCGGGAACGAGAGTCACAGCCGGGGCAATCGAGGCCGATACGGATCTATTAGGGCCGGTTCTCATAATAATCCGTATTAAATGGCCGCGACATAGCACGATATATAATAATATAGAGACAATGATACGCGATAAAAGCGCGACGCTTCATAAAGACGCGGCATATGGCCACGTTTTACGAGTCTAGCGACCGATAGCGCCGTTTCAATTATGAAACTAATCTGTCGATCCTCTGTTTAAATAAGATGATTTCAATAATGCGCGTGCAAACGTACATTAACTCCCGATATTGCTTTTCCACGTGTTATTTCATTCCGCGATCGAGATCGAGATCGAAACTGCCCTCGAAAAAGCGAACTCTCTCCGAACCTTCTGTTTCGTTCAGATAAGAGCGATACCCGATATTTAAAATTCAGATTAGTATTCAAACGCAAATTATTCGACGCGAGTCAATTATACGAATGGAAACATTACTTGGCATTGACAGAAATTAGA